ACAGGTGCAGGCATGGCAGCACATGCCTGTAGTCCTATATAATCAAGAAGCAGGGGAGTAACAAGTTGGAGGCCAGCTTGACAATTTGGCAAGATTCTGTCTCAAAATAAGAAGCAAGAGAGTGTTTGCCTAAAACACACACACACTCACGCACGCACACACACACAAAACCTGTTCAAACCAAGTACCACAGGGGAAGTAAAATATAACAAGTGGGGCAATAGCTCAGTAGGAAAGAACTTGTCTAGCATGAATAAGGCCCAAAGTTTAACTCCCAGCACTACAAAAAATACTTTTTAAATTAAATCATCATAATTACACTTCGTGGGAAAATGAGGGTGCAAAGAGTGGAGGGAGAAGGAATAAGAGGCAATTCTTGGGTAGTACTTACATTCCATTCTTGAGTGAAATAATAGTGACACACAAGTTTTTGTTTTCTGGGATTAATTTAGCTGTAAATTTATACTGAGTGTACTTTTCTGTTGGTTATGTTCTACTTCAATTAAAACAGGAAAACTAAAACTGGCTGCATCTGGCAATGATCAAGTTGGCTGAAATAGGCCAGACTCAGAAAGACAAACAGTATCACATGGAATCTAAAAAGGAGATTAGACAGTAAAAGGGAGGCTATTATTAGACAAGAAGAGGGAAAAGGAAGGGGTAAAAGGTAGGCAATGAGAGAATGGGCATGAACAAAATATATGGTATGTATGGAAACAACCCCCTCCCATACGAAACTCGCTGGGGGGGACCAAGAGATGGAGTGACAGTGGAGTGAAAATGATCAAAGAATGTTAGCAGCATGTATATATCTGTCAAAATGAAATCCACAATCTATACAACCAATTAAAAAAAAAGTGGCCACCCTGTAATACTAGCACTTGGGAGCTGAGGCAAGATAGTCACAAGTTCAAAGCCAGCCTAAACTACATAGTGAGATAAAAAGAAAGAAAAAAAAAAGTAGAAGATTTTAGATTATTGGGCAAGAGGAAGGGATTATAGCGAAGGAAAGATGGGGAGGTAAGGGAGGTAAATAATGGCACTGGATATACTTGACTCATTTATATACATATTTGAAAATGCTCCAATGAAATCCAATATGTTATAAAATTAATTTGTAGTAAAAAATATATATTTTACAAAAAGAAAACCAGTTCTTTTGTCCATATTTATTTATTATAATCTGATGTATCTGGAAAAAGATATAGGAGTTAATGAATAAAATACTTGATTTCATCAAGTCTAAAACATCATTCATGGGGCTGGTGAGATGGTTCAGTGGTCTAAAGCACCTACTTAGATCAAGCTTAGCAAAGCACAGGGACCACGGTTCGATCCCCCAGCACCACATGCCATCCCGCACGCCCCCTGGTGGGCTGAGCTGGCCACACACACACACACACACACACA